GGCACCAAATAAATACTTATTGAATGAATGTTTTAATAAATAAAAGGAGATCACAGAAAGAGGAATAGATCAGCACCAAATATATGTATTTTTTATCTGTTTCATACTTTCTTTTCCTCTCCAGGTCAACCCTTTACTTATCACACATGCAAAAAAAAAAAAATCAGAAAAATCCACACTCGTAAGAAAAATGCTGCCATTTCCCCTTTGTTTACTCTAAGAAATTCTGTCTAGGAAAGTAAAGAAATAAAAAAAGGCAATAAAAAGGAATTAAAAACTCGTAAAAATGAAAGTTCTGAGACAAACTGCACTTTAAAAGATTGAAAGCTATGATCCCAGGAGAGAGAACACTGCCACAACAAATATTTCTCAGAGAAAGAAATGCTCTCGGACATGGTGCTCTGATGAAAAGCCCTGAAGACCACAGGCCTCTATTTGTCTGCGGCAGAAACAGCAATGGTCAAATTCACATCGGAAGTACACTCCTAAATCAAGTCGTTGAAACTATACTCACACAGAAGCATCTTATAAAATGCAGATGGAACTTTTGCAATCATTGCCTAGACCAAATGCTGTCAGAGAAAATGGGTCTTAATTTACTCAACGTATTTTGGTTTTGTAATTTTCAAGATGAATTCTTGACAATGTCTGAAAAAAACACGAGGCCCTTTCAAAGCAGGCTTTAAAAATGCACTCTGGAATGAGACAGGGAGTTGGGCATGTTCAGAGCAGATGGCAGGAGGGCTTGATTACTGTGTTCATATTTCTACAGATGTGTGTGTGTGTAGGGGGCCAGTTAGCTCAGGAAAAATCTCATCCACCTATTGGGAAAATATAGCTGTGGTAATGGTCAGGAACACGAATTTACCAAGTGGGATGCTAAATTTAGAGAAGTGAGTCAGATTTTCAACTAAGCAGAAAAATGATACAAATCTATGATCATAACCAGCTGCATGACCTTGAGGAAGTTACTCAGCTTCTCCGGTTTCAGAATCTTCATCTGTAAAATTAAAAGATTAAATCATATCATCTTTAAAAGTTTCCTCTATTACCTAATTTTAAGAAGGGGGGATGGACATAAGAACCCTGTGAGCTTTGCAGAAAAGAAAATAGTACATGTCCCAGGTAATATTATTTCATGTTTACCCACAGTACCCAAGACATGTCTTTTGACATCATAAATACTTTTTTTAATATTAAATTAGCATATGGACTAACTAATGGGACCTGTCAGTCAAGCATCTGCCTACCTGCCACACTCTCACCCCAAGACTACCTGTTTCTCTCATTGGATTAGCAGTGGAGACGTCAGCATTTGACTATTGCAAATGGATTCTCTCAAAAGAATACAGTTCAAATGGATTTGCTTATTCACCCAGTCATTCATTTCACCATATAGTGATTGACAGAGTGGCCTAAATACTGCAAGGTACTGGTGCCATCAAGTGATGAAGTCAGACTGGCTCTGACTCTCATAAAGCTTACAACTCAATTGAGCAAGAGGTATATTCAAGGAAGAACATACAGGGGCTTCTAACAGAGTTGGAAAGAATGGAAAAGGAAAGTGTTATTGAAAAAAGTCATAGTCATGATGGCTCCCAAATGATGAGTAAGTACTAGCCAGAAAAAGAATACGATGAAGGGAGTTTAAACAGAAGAAACAGCCAAGGTCTGGAGATGACTGAGTTCATGGTGGATTCCTGGGGATGAAAACAATTTAGTCTGGATGGCTCACACAGCATAGGGAAGGAGGGCTGTGGGAAGGGATGGAAGTCTGGCTGGTCCAGATCATAAGAGCCCCGCTGGGGAGTCAGATGTTCATGCTGAGGGCAGTGGAGTTATGGAAAATTTTAAGCAGAGGATGTAATATGATGAGAAGTGCATTTATGGAAGATCACTGATGCCCAGTGGCTCTCATCTCGGTAGTTTTTAAGTGATCTGGTAGCTTTTAAAAATCCAATGCCCAAGTTCCTCTTCAGAACAATTATTTATAGTCTCTGGAGGTAGAATCTAGTCACCAGTAATTTTTAGAGTTCCTCAGATGATTCCATTCTAAGAGAGTACAACTAAGACTCAGAACTACTGTATCAAAAGGAGGCAAGATCAGCTAGGAGGCAACTGAGGAAATAAAGCTGAGAGCTGATGATGGCTTTTATTTTTCCCAGAAAAGTATCAGAAGTACAAGGGAGAATATTCGATAAGTGTGGAGGAGAGAAAAATCCAGGATAAGCATCAGCACCATTCTGAAATCTTATTGTATGGTTTAGATTTCAAAAACTACTTTAGTAGTTTAAATATTTAAAAATATAATTAATTAAATAAGAGGGGGGCAAAACTAAAATTGAAAACAAATAGAAACAAGTGAACTTAACCAAATATAAAACATAACTACAGGGAAAACAAAAACAGAACAAGTCCAAGGAATGTTTGAGCACAGGACTTTGACTATATTAACTCAATTTAAGGACAAACAGAACTACAAAGTATCTTGAACAATAGTTTTCTTGATAGCAGGACATGGATTTCAGTTACTTTAAAACTATTTTGTGTGTACTGCAGGGTGGCACCAATAAACGAACATTGATTTTGTCAGGAATCAGGGTTTTCTTTGTAGCAGAAGGGAGATACAAACATGGCAAAGAAGAATTCTATAATATTGCATTGGAATTAGAAGATAAAAATATAAACTAATGACACACACACTCACAAACACACACAAACTTAATGCCTAGCTCTGACTGCTGAGACTTCTCAAATGCAATAAGCACATCTAGCCTAGGTCTTCATTTCTAAATACTATTCTCTTTGGAGAAGTAAATGATTTCTGAGCCAGGAAAGAAGCAGTACAAGATAAACCTTGGGTATCTTGTTTGTGAGAAAGTTTAAAAAAATGCTTTAAAAATGAGAGACTTAAAAAAGAAATAAGAGAAAGCATAAAGGGACTCTCACTGGCCAGGTTGGGGTCAATTTGAGCAACAAAATGAATAATGAGAGGAATGGGTAACAGAGAACTTTCAAGAACGGTCCATTATTTTATACTGACACAAACACATGTATATTCGTGTGTATATATAAAGAAAGTGGAAAGAAGGAAAAAGGGGAGGGAGGGAGGAAGGGAAGGATGAAAGGAAGGAACAGGACAGGGAGGGAATAAAAAGAGGTAAATCTTGATAGAGTCAGAAAATCACTGTTTTATAACCAACTTTATTAATAATTGATTCATGAAAAGATCAGTTGATTAAAGATTCTTAAAAAATAAAATATTTACACAATTTCAAAGTATATTCCCCACAGATTACTTGTACTGCAGAAGGCAAAGGGGTACCTTGCAGTGGAGTTCGTTATGGGAGTTAACATGGCCCACAGCGGGACAGGCTAACACCATGTGCACCTGGATGCAATGAGCCGAGGACACAGCATCACTTCCACCATCACTCAGGCCAAATCCAGACCTGTGTCTGTTCATGAACAAACAATCAGACATATCCAAATCGACAGAATTCCATACAGCCAACCATCTTCTTCAAAAAATATCAGTGTCATGAAAAGATACAAGGCAACTACATGCACCTCCTAATCCCTGATTGGCTCCTTGGATGGGGGTTGCGTGAAGGGAGGGAGCAGCACTGGGAGGAGAGGCAACATTTAAATATGGACAGTCTGTTAGGAAATAGTTATGAATCAATGTGAAATTTTCCGAATGTGACAACTGACCTGTGGTTACGTAAGAGAATGTATTTATTCTTAGAGATACATGGTGATTGATGTATTGAGGATAAGGGTCATGATGCTTGTAACGTTTGCAAATGACTCAACAATAATGATCATATATAACAATTCTAAATATTGCTACATAGACATGTTATTGAATTATTCTTACAATTCTGTAGCTTTAAAATTGTTTTCAAAAAATAAAAAAGAAATAAAATTGTTTTCAAGATAAAGAGCAAATTTCAGTATTTGAGCCTGAGCTAGGGGAGGTGCCCACCGATGCCCAGCTGAGTGTCTGGGGGTCATTTTCGTTCAGGAAAGCCATTGATTTTGAGGTCACTTCAGTTTTTACAGTTAGGGGTCACCCAGCATCCTCCTCCAACCCAGGTGCCCACTCTCCAGCACAGCCTGCATCTCATAGTACTGGTTATTAATTTCTCCAAAGTCATTTACAAAGTCATTTGCAACTTCATTTGTGGCTCAAATTGGAAATAATCTGCCTGCAATGCAGGAGACCTGGGTTTGATCCCTGGGTTGGGCAGATCCCCTGGAGGAGGGCATGGCTACCCACTCCAGTATTCTTGCCTGGAGAATCCCATGGACAGAGGAGTCTGGGGAGCTACAGTCCACGGGGTCCCAAAGAGCTGGACACGACTGAGTGACTAAGCACAACGCAAGCACAGGTGCTTGGACTGTGACAGTCCATAGAAACTCATTTTCGTTAGGTCCAGGATACATCAACTCCCTATAAATCCTAGAGTTAACCTGGCAAGAGCAATTCTCAAAAAGGTCAAATGCAAGACATTTCAAGGCTTGAAAAAGCCACTGAACCAGGTGTAAATTTTTTCTCACGATCTTGCAAGGACTTTGTGTTTCCCCCTCAACATTCCTTCCTTGTCCCTTCCTTGCTAAGAGAATCCCCTTTTCACAGAGAAGAAATTCATACCCAACACAAGGCAAGACAGGTTGTTTTCCCAGACTCCCTCGCAAGCAGAGATGACCACGTGACACAGTGACATAATTCTGGTCAATGAGACTATAGGTAGAAGACTGTCAGGGCCCTGGAAAGTTCTTGTTTTACATGATAAAATGGGAAAGGCACCCCCTCTTCTTTTCATCCTGCCCTGAATCTGGACTCCACCACTGAAGCTGCTGAAGGAAACACTTCAAAAAATCTCATAAGTGTTGTCACTTAACCAACATCAGCAACTGCCTTTTTAAAAAAAAAATCTCTTGTTATATTAAAAACAAACAAAAAAACCCTCTCCTGTTGCTACTCGCAAGCTAGTATGTTCTTAATGCGTGTGTGCACACCAAGTCACTTCAGTTGTGTCCAATTCTGTGTGACTCCATGGATTGTAACCTGCCAGGCTCCTCTGTCCACGGGATTCTCCAGGCAAGAATATTGCAGTGGGTTGCCATGCCCTCCCCCAGGGGATCTTCCCGACCCAGGGACTGAACCCATGTCTCTTATGTCTCCTGCATCGGCAGGCATGTTCTTTACCACCAGCACCACCTCGGGAAGCCTTATGTTCTTAATAGATACAATTAGGAAGATGATAACACCATTCGCCTTGTTAGAAAATATTAGAGAATACACAAGGCTAAAAGTAACAGGTGAACCTTTAGACTTTGCCTAGGTTTCTGAGGACCGCTAATGGGGTGTCCAACCAAGAAGAAGCTATAAGTGTTGGAGTGTTTCCTTAGGCATTTTGAATTGGGGAATGATGGATTTAGGGGAGGAAGGAGAGAGATCAAGGTGAGAGGATGATGGACATCAGCCTTCTGACCACTCATCCCAGATAAGTGACACCTGAAGTCATTTTCCCATATTTCTCCACTTTCTGTATTTTTGAACACAAAGGAGGCACAGAAAGAGGTAGGGATTAAAGGGATTTTTCCTTTATGCTATTTCTGTGACCTGGAAAGTACCTGTTGTGTATAGTTTTTGTTTTTTGTTTTTCCTTTAGGTAGGAAAGAAAAAAATGAGAAACGGTGTTTAGAAATCTAGTTGTCTTTTATTAGAAAGTGGTAAGTACAATTGAGGGACCATTCTTTTCTAAATGAAAAAGAAATTCTGACTAGTCAGGAGAGTTCTATAACTGACAACTCTCCAGATCAGCCCACCTTCTTTTCCTGCCTTTACTTCAGTGGTGATTTATCAGCAAAAAAAAAAAAAAAAAAAAAGGAGGGGATGGAGAAATTAAGAGAATCATGGGTTAAGAAAATTAATGAGTACCTAAATATCAATACTTTACAAATAGAGCTACTGAAACACTACTATTAGGCAATGTAGCTCGGGCTATATGGGTTGTAAGAACAAGGCTCACTCCGACAACCAAGTAATGGGGATTTGCTACATAAGATGACTAAAAGGAAAGGGAGAGACACATTGGGCACCCTTGAAGAAGTAAGAAATTACTGGTATACCTTGCATGTTTTACAAAATGAAGTTTTGTGGCAACCCTGTGTCAAGCAAATTTTCCAGTAGCATCTCTCTCATTTTGCATCTTCATGTTACATTTCAGTAATTTTTATATTTAAAATTTTTTCATTGTTATTATATTTGTTATGGTCATCTGTAATTAGTTATCTGTGATATTACTATTGTAAAAAGATTACAACTCAAAGGCTCAGATGGGCTTCCCTGGTGGTTCAGATGGTAAAGAATCTGCTTGCAATGCAGGAGATCGCAGTTCGATCCCTGGGTCAGGAAGATCCTCTGGAGAAGGAAATGACTACCCACTCCAGTATTCTTGCCTGGAGAATTCCATGGCCAGAGGAGCTGGCAGGCTATAGTGCATGTGGTCACAAAAGAGTCAGACATGACTGAATGACGAACAGTTTCATCTTTCAAAGGCTCAGATGATGGTTAGCATTTTTAGCAATAAAGTATTTTTCAATTAAAGCATGTACATTGTTTTTTAGACATGAAGCTATGGTGTACTTACTAGACTACAGTACATTATAGATATAACTTTTATATACATTGGGAAATGAAAAAACTTGATTTGCTTTATTTTGGTGACCTAGAATTGAACCTGCAAGATCTCTTGAGATATGTCTGTAAGGCAGAGCCTAGTTTGATGCACTACTGGAAGGTCATTCTAGAACCAAACTAGGGCTGAGGCTTGGATTATTTTCTTTCAAGAGCAGTCAACTGAATTTTCACCTAAATGTAACTTGAGTGCTTCTGCTGTTAATTTTTGTTTCTACACCTACTTTTTCACTACAAACTGACAATTTATCCTCTGATCAATTTTCTCCACCTCTTCCTTTCGGCTTCCTCCTACTGTGGGCTGGTATGTGCTTCTTCTGCTTTATAGCTTCATTGTATCATTTCAATTTCCTTTCTCATAGTCAGCTGACTTTCAGAATTACCTAGCTTAGAATTTAGAGCAAGATCGAAGGGGCCTGGCTGTAGTGGCCATGGTTGAGCTACAGAATAGCTATCTCAAAAGCCAATCCCAGTAATTTTTGCCCTTGGATAAGGTTTCCACCCCTGTTCCAATCAGGGTAGATGCAATAATGTGTCTGGGAAGTGTAGATGAGTGTAGATGGGAGAAGTCACATTGAAATAGCCAAGATCCCTTTTCTTCAGCAACGACCATGAACGCAGCAGTTTCCTTCAAGGATAGAGTCTGGAGGAAGTAACTCACGGGGGGCTTGTGTGCACCATCAAAAAAAGAGGAAAATAAGAAATATGCTGGTAAGTATAATGGTATTCAGAGAATGATTTTCTAACTATATTCACAAAGCCAGACTCTGTAGGGTAGTTGTAGATGAAATGAGATATTAAATATGCTGTTATGAATAGCTGATGTGATTTAGAAAGATGACTGCTATTTCCCTGCAGTGGTATCAAATGACCGGGTTTATTTTCTCAAAGACCTTAGTAACACATGCTTGAAAAAGCTTAGCACTTCTGCTTGGAATATAAATGTCAAACTGTCAAAATCATAAAAATGCTCTAAAACAATTTCTGGAAAATGCGTAATAGAAAAGAGAAATGCATAAACATTATAAAAGAGGTCAAATATAAATGTCAATCAAGAAAATAGGTGAAATAGATCGCTATAATTGCCCCCACTTTAAATCTTAATTTCATTTGGAATTCAATCTATATAATTTCTTCTTTTTCAAATTCCATTTAGAATAGTATCCTGTTCATAATTTGTAGCTTTTCATGCAATGTGCAGGTGATGAGACATCATTTCTGAATCACTCTGTTCTCTTATTTAGCATCTTTATAAAACAATACAAATATATTGATTATTTCATGCTGAAACATTTTAGCACATTTACAAGGTAATGTTATTTAGAATCATCTTCAGAACATTTTCCTTCTTCTGCTTATTTCTTGTAGTTGAAAGGCATGGTATGCAAATTTATTTTTAAATTCTTGAGTGTTTCTTTCATGGGTTCCCTCCCTCCTTTAGTATTAATTTTAGCAAATGAGACCATCTATCTTAGGTCTTCCTTAACATAGCCGAAGTTCAACAGTTTTCCTAGCATTCTCTTTGCTGATCCTCTTTTCTGTTGCTGATCTCAGCCTTCCAGCCTCCAAATCTGTGAGAAAATGAAATGTTGTTGTTTAAGCCATGCAGTCTATGATATTTCATGACAGCCAGGGTAGGCTGATTCTGCTGGGCCTACTCCTCATTAATAACACTAAGTTTTACTCAAAATGCATGCTTTTACATTTATCACAGTTGGTCTGCATAGTTCACTGGAGGGCTGGAAATGACCTTTGGACTTCCCAGACACATTATTCCTTAATTTGAAGCCCAGGAATATCCCAGTTTCGCCAACATGAGTATGCCACTTAGAACTTTCTCAGAATAGAAAACTGTCTCCCACCGCTAACCTGCAAGACAACAGCAAGTGCGCCAAGACCAGAGCAAGACCAGAAGCTGGCTTCCGACCAGTGCTGCCTATAGAGGAAGGATACTGGGAGGGCTGAGGGAGTCCACAGCTTCTGAGTGAAGCCTGCCTCCCTAAACACGGAGTCTTCATTTACCTCCAAAGCCGAGTCTTTTAATCCATAGGTTTCAGGAATTTGGGATTTCACAAACCAGCAAAATTACTGGGAAAACTCAGAAAGGAAATGCCAGGTTTGGAGAACAACAGTGGCCATCTGATTCTTAATATCCCAAAAGATATTTGATATCCTAATTGAAATGACAAACTCAATAAGAGTAAACGAAATGTTAGCTGATTTATGCCTTCAGTGTAACTAGGAGACAGCGAATGCCACAACTTCCAAATCACCTGTGAGTAGAGAGGAAAAATCCAATAGTTCTCACTTCTCTCCTGGTGTTGGCAAGCCTGTGAGCCAGGAGAGCAGGTAAGGGGAAGTTTAAGTCTCTGAAAAGGAGCAGAAAGGAAAAGAGGACTCAGAAAAAGCAACAGTGAAATCATCTCTAGAAAGAGAAAGTGCAACATTAAAGGCCAAGGCTCTGAGCACAGGTGGGTACTTGATAGAAAGTTCACAATATGAGTTGCAGGGGCTGGATGCGGCAGCTCTAGTGAAGCATTGCATCCAGAGAACAAGGCAGTGAAGAAAAGCAGGAAAGTAGAAGCGGAAACTAAGTATCTAGCAGTCATAGAAAAGAAACAGGGTACACTGACTGGGCTCTTTCTCCTACAGCAACACAATCCATTTTTTGCTGCTAAAAATCCTCCCAAAATAAGCCACTGAAGAAAACTGGGCCAGTCCACCCCAACTAAATAAAATATCCTCAAATAAGCATGTGGTATATGAAAAATTATTTCCACTTTCCCCCCTCTATTTCCTCTTCTTGGAAATGGTGACTGCAGCCATTAAATCAGAAGACGTGTGCTTACTGGCAGGAAAACTATGACAAACCTAGACAGTATGTCAAAAAGCAGAGACATTCCTCTACCAACAAAGGTGCCTAGAGTCAAGGCTATGGTCTTTCCAGTGGTCACATACGGTTGAGAGAGCTGGACTGTAAAGAAGGCTGAGCGCTGAAGTATTGATGCCTTTGAACTGTGGTGCTGGAGAAGATTCCTGAGAGTCCCTTGGACAGCAAGATCAAACCAGTCCATCTTAAGGGAAATCAACCCTGAATACTCATTAGAAGGACTGATGCGGAAGCTGAAACTCCGGTATTTTGGTCATCTGATGTGAACAGCTGACTCACTGGAAAAGTCCCTAGTACTAGGAAAGATTGAGGGCAGAAGAAGAGGAAGAGGGCATCAGAGGATGAGATGGCTGGATGGCATCACTGATGCAATGGACATGAATTCGGGCAAACTTCAGGAGATGGTGAGGGACAGAGAGGCCTGGCGTGCTGCAGTCCATAGGGTCACAAAGAGTCAGACATGACTGGGTGACCGAACAACAACAATATGAAAAAGTAGACTAAATTAGAAATACAACTACTAAGGACAGAAATGCACAAAAATAGGGAGAGATGAGAGTTGGCTAAATGTAGGGGGGGAAAAAATTACACCAGAAATAAAGATTAAATTACTAAGTGTCTGAGAGAGTAGACTTGGATAAAAAATTAACAAAAAATCTTGATGAAAATAAATAAAGCAAAAAGTAAAAGAAGGTCACAAAGAAAGTAGAAGACAGGCAAAGAGAGTTCAACATGTTAATCAATGTCCCGGA